AAGGAAATGAAGAAGAAAGAAAGCCAATGTCAAAGAGGTTAAAACAAAAACTTGTTTAAATGCAAAGGTTCAGCTGGAGGAAAAAGCAGTTAGGAGAATCAAAAATGCACACACAAACACACACACTTTTCCTTTTCCTAAATTGGAGAAGCAGCATGTTATCAAAATATTTTAAGAAATGTCTACAAAATTGTTTACTCATTACGCTTCTTCACACACAGTTTTATCTTTAAAATGTGTATGACGGTTGAATAGAATCATTAGACAAGTTAACATCATCAATACAGCAATAGTTAAGAGAAATGATACAAGAAATAATCTTGTAGCCTTATATTTCTGGGACTGATGATATTTCTCAGTCAGCCACATTGAAATAATTGTACACCATTCGTGTACAACTTTAATTAGAAAGAAACCAATTGTTACACTGTCTCTTCTCTCTGATTCATAACTAAGATATTTCATATAAAAAAAACAAACTACAAAACATTCTTTGTCATTTATTTGGGAAAGATTGGATATTCACAATATCAGTTGCTAATTCTAGAATTACACAGATTTAATTATGAAAACTCAATATTTTAAAGAAAACTGGTATTCAAAAAACCTATACTGGTAAAATTTTTCAAATATACTTATTTTATGATAAATATAACATGTAAATTTCAGCTTATATCTGTTTTTATGAAAAATATTCACACTAACTTATTTGGCAATGTGAGATTTTATTATGCAACTTAAGGATTGTTTATCATATTGGAAATAAATAGATATATAAAAGAATAGTTACTGATATTTATTTTCTAATTTCAGATATAAAGATTTCCAAAATAATATTTTCTAAAATGAAAAACAAAATACTACAAAAAAGTTCAAGGCAGATCACATACTATAAAGCTATTGTGCCACCCCACTTGAAAAATTTAGTTGCCAGATTAATGTGGAATAACCCACCTCCATATTAATTTGAGACAAAACTTGTGCTCTCTCTACACACACACATCAAAAGAATGGAAAATAGTATTCATGTGAAAAAGATCTTTTGGAAGCAATGGTGAAAAATCGATACATTAGTAATGTTTATCAGGCCAAATAAAGATTTATGTTTCACATGATTTTTTTTTGTGTCAAAAAACATTTCACTCCACCAAAACAAGTTTAATATTTTTAATAAAAACAGATACTGGAAGCTGAAACATGTCGCATTGCTGATAAAAATCTAATTATATTGAAAATATTTTACCAACATTGCAAATTTGAAAAACTTTTACCATAAAATGATTAATTATTATTATCATTACTATTATACCAAGTCTTTCTGTTATTGAAGGAAATAAAGGATTTGGAAGACAAATTACATAGAATTTTTTTAAAGACATATCTCTCACATAAAAAAATGAATACCATTAACTTTATGCACATATATAAAATGAAATACTGAATGTAAGTTCAAAATTAAATAAAACAGGAGGACCCCCCCCCCCCAAAACCCAGCCAATGAAAAACATCTGCAGCCAAATTCTGTAAATCAGATAGGACACGCCATTTGATTCCATTCTCATTCATCTCTTGCCAAAGCAGAAAAAAAAAAGAAGAGAAATATAATAGCTTGAATTGGCATCACTATATAAGTGTTATCCACTTCATTTTTTTTTTTAATCTTTTTCTCTGGGTATTCCAAGGTTTTCTTTATAAAAGTCACAGATGCTTTTGAAAGGATCTCATGAAACAAAAGCTGCCAAGTTTAATAAAAAATATTCACTAAATAAAGACATTTAATATTATTTTTCCTTTTTTTTCTTCTAGGCAGCAAGAAAGATAAACAAGAGTTGGAATTAGGTCGCAAAAACAAAAAACAAATGGTAAAATGAAATTCAAAGTAAAAAGCATGTATTTCAAGTCAAGCAAAACAGAGGAGGAGGAAGGTGAAGAAAGTAGAGACCGCATGAAAGAAAAGGTCAACTCTTTTCAGGACTTGCCCGAATTACTCACATTTATTTCCTTGGCTGGGTGGATGTTTTCTTCTTGTTCCTTTCATTCACTCTCTCTCTCTCTCTTTCATCAGTGACGTCTGTACTCTCTTTCCCTTTCTCTATCCCGTTCCCGATCTCGGTCCCTGTGCCGTTCTTCATGATATCTATCACGGTCACGGCTACGTTCCCTGTACTCTCGATCTCTGCTTCGAGAACGGTGTCTGCGGCTGCTCTTCTCTCTGTCCCGATCTCTTTCGCGTTCCCTTGATCGAGATCGCCTTGTGCTGCTCCTAGAGAGAGAGAGAGAGAGAGATATGCAAGAATTAAAGGAAGAAGGGAGAGAGAGAGATCACAAAATTCTAATTCATCATCATCAGTCTAATAGGGTCAGTGCACAAGTGAGCACCTGACCATTCCAGAACCCCCAACACCAGAGAAGTATTTATTCATGCATATTTAACCTGGTGGAGCACACCTCCCTCTTTAGGTCATACCACAGTCAACATCCTCCAACTTGAAGGTTCACTTCGGTCATAGACACATGGTTGTTGACTCTAATTACTCAAGAGTAAACTCAAGCAACTAAGGTATAAGACATTGTCGACCAGCCTCAACCCATTTCCCCTTTTTGGCCTTGTGCCACAATTGTGTATGCTAATGCAATAAATTTCGAGTAAACACAAGCCACATATTCATTTTTGAAAAATATTTAAGAATGGAACAATTTCTTTCTTCTTCAAAAATATACTTTATTTTTTATAAAACTTTGCTAATTTTACTTCTTCATATTCAGGTTGTTTTTTCCCCCTCTCTCTAATAACTGACAGCTTTATTTTTCATGACATAAAAACAACTGCTACCAAGAAGCTGAACCTGACAAAAACCAATTGATAAATTAAGTTTGTCAGGTCAAGAGGCTGGCAATAAAATCTCATTCTCCAACAGGAAGCCAACATTCTGTTGAGAAAGAAAGGTCAAAGGAATATCAGTTCATGAGAATGCTATGAAATAAGAGAGGAAGAGGAGGAGGAGGATAAAGCAAATAAAACAATATTTGCATAATGATAAAGAATAAATAAAGTACTTACTTGGAGCCATAAGACTTTTCTTCAATACCATGAAGTGTGTCTTGTAAGGAACTGATTAAAATTTTACATCGATCATCTCCAGCAATCTTGGACTGCTTGATTAATGAGATAGCAGTGACCAGGGTTTCAATTGCACTAGCAAAATCACCTAAAAAAAACAAAAAAAAAACACCTTAGATGAAAGCTTAACAAAAGTAAAAGCCTGTTGTATACAAGTATGGATTGAAATGAAAAAGTGACTTTTATTCTTGACATTAAAGAAATCCGTCAAGAATTGTTAACTAAAGAAATCACAAGCTGTTTATAAGCTTCTTATTTCTAAACTTATTTCTTCACAGTAATTCTAAACTTTTAAAAGAAAAAATGTGAATGGTAACCGAGTCTTTTTTCCATACCTGCACTGGCATCTTGGACAGCCCTCGAGATTGCACTACTGGACACAGTTTTGTTCCTTTGGAAAATTTCCTCAAATTCTTGTTCACTAATGGCTGGTGATGCAGACTCATGTCTACTAGGATGGAAAAAGACAAAATTATTTACTCATTTGCAGATACAAGGACCCTCAAAAAGCTGTTTCACATATCAAGAGATTTTCATGTTTCTGCCATCAAATGAGTGGCTTCGATGAATAAGTAATATTTCTGGTTTGGATTAATCTTGGTCATGGGCATTTCAACCATAGAGTATAGGTTGAACATTGTACAAGCAAAATTTTTGAAATGATGATTGAATCTAGAAAAGATCATTATCAGTTAAAGGACAATTAATTTGTAGTAGAAGCAAAAGCATTTGTGTAGAAAAAAAGAAAGCACTTCAGATTAGTCAGATGTATACATATCTTTGGTCATTCAAACAATTATAGCAAAAGTTAAGTGAAGGAGAAAGCAAAACTACCAACCTTTCTGGTGGTCTGCCATAGGGGTCATTTGGATAGGCTGCTGGAGGTGGTTGTCGAACATACATGTCACCAGGCTGTGAATGGGGAGGCTGAAAAATTAGGCATATGGTGACTGACGGCCAATAGGCCACACATAACAAGCTCATAGATAGATTTGATTTTATGAAATAAGATGAAATGGCACACACAGTAATAACAAATGCTACGTACATGGTTTGCATGGAATTTAACATCAGGGTCCAGGAAAGGTAAGGTTTCAAACTGTCCAACAGGAATCTATAAAATAAGAAATTAAATCCAAGATAAGCACTGAAATTTTGTTTTATAGAAAAACATTTTCATCCACAAATGTCTAACTCTTAAAAACTGCCTAACATGTTCCCAATAATAGCAACAAATTCAATCTTCATCCTGAATACAAAATAATATTAGAGAAAAAAAACCCTGAATAGGAGTAGAAACTTTATGTATGTGTCAGGATGGATACAATGGTGCAACCAAGCTGTATGGCAATGTTTCCAAGCTTGTAGACCTAAGTTAGATTGAATATATGATTGCTATTTATTAAAGAGCAAAACATCAATTTCCATTGTTTCTCACATATAATAGAACATATTCTTATAGAGACTATAATAATATATCGGCATCAGTCACAAATTCAATATCTTCCTGAAGAGATTTGCTCAGAGCTACAGCAAGTCTGTAGAAATTCAAATGCAAAATTAAATCTTTCAAAGATGGTTAAAAAAAAAAAAAAAAAAAAAAAAAAAAAAGAAGAAAAGTAAATACAATTTTATTCTGCAGCAACAACAAAGGTACCCAGATAATGATGCTTTTAAATTGCTTTAGAGATTTCAGTAATAAAATAATTCAATATTAATAATAATTCTCTGACAATCATTACTAGTAAACCTTGAAAAAATCCATTATAATCATGTATAATTTGTTACATTTTATACAATAAAAATAAATCTCAATACAAGAAAAATTTTCAAATTCAAAAGGTGAGAAGTTATCAAGAATTATGTTATGGATTATTACCATTGGCCCTGCAGGTGGAGGCTGACCATGTTGTGGAGTAAAGAAGGCAGGGTTGACATGAGGTGCTGGTGCTGGAGGGTGACCTGGTGGAGGGGCTGATACTGGAGGTGGTTGATGCAATGGAGGTCCACCTACAAAACAAGTAATACATTAGCATGCAAAAAGAGGAAGAATAAAAATGGCCTTTATCTTCAAAGAGTTTAAACATATCGGCTCAATGCACAAATAATTCGAGATATTTAAAACTTTTAAAAGCCAAAAGCAATTAACAGTACAAATCAAGATTCAGTGGAGTAGAACAGATTAAAAGCGATTGGAGGTAGTTTGGGATCTAAATAAACAATATTTTATAAGTCATTCCTAATGTATTAAAAATGAGAGAGAGGGAAAGAATATATTCTTTTCAAGAAAATAAATAATTACACAATGAATTATTTAAAAGTAAAGACAATTTCAGTTAATGTGAAATTTAATTTTTTATAAAAGTAAACAAAGAGTCTGATAAGTAAATGAAGTAAAAGCTACTTACCTGTTCTTGGAATAACACCTGAAAACATAAAATATAGTAAATATTAAAATAGAAATTATAACAAAAATCTTTTTTCTCTCTTTCTTAAAATAGAGCTTTGCTATAAGCTGCATCATTTAACAAAATAGATGAAATTAGAGGAGGTGATGGACACACACATGCATTGGTGCTTCATGCAAAAATAAAAGCAAAATACAGTAGAGCAGTCATTTAGAATCAATCTGGAAGTAACAATATAAAATGAGTGTCCAATTTATTACATATCAATAGCAAGAAAGATATGGTTTAAAATAGTTTGTGTGTTTGCTGCTTAAGTCTGATTCTATTAACACCTTTATCAAATCACTCCTATTGCCAGGAGTGTATAGTGGAAAAAGTGTAATTTTCTTTTCTGCGATAGGTAATCTGTAAAATGACTTCATTCCTTAAGGCTGAAGTAAAAGTGAAATTTACCACCTTTTTCATTCATTCCCAAAAAACAACAAGAATGTTTTTTTTGTGTGTGTGTGATAGTATGTGTGTGTATATATATATATATCTCAACAATGAAAATATTTAGATTCAAAGGGAAAATTTTCCATTTCTCTTTTCTTTTGAGGAGGAGGAGGAGGAGCTTGTTGGAAAATCCAATGATTTTTCTTCTTCACTCCTTTCTTCCTACTAATTTCAATGGCAATCATAAGCCATTCAATAAATGGGCAAAAACAGGAGAATTTGTAATGCTACTCTCACATAATGTGAAAAAAAAAAAAAGAGAGAGAGAGAGAGAGAAAACAAACATAGGTTTTTATGGTGCCCTCGTTCCAAGCAGACAATTAGGACACAATAGTGCAATATTCCTATTAAGGCTGCTCTTCTTCCTTTGTGATTGAGGCAATATGAAAGTGTTTTAAGTTTATTTTCAACAAATCAGACCAATGGATGTTATTTTCTGCCCTTTTTTGACAGGAATGCCTTGAAAATGATTTTGTCTATAAGTTGCAAAGGTAAATTCATGATTTAGGTTGGTTTTTCTCACTTTCTCACAGTGTAAACTGATAACAAGTCAACCAGGTATGAATATCACTGCTCTCATGCAACACCTGGCATAACAAAGTGATATGAACATGGAACTGAATTTCAGTCAAGATAATTCAAATGAAACAGTCAAATAATAACTCATTACAGAGATTCTCTTCAGAAAACAGGTTTGCTTTCCTATACTTAATAATAGAGACATGGATTTGAAAAAGTAAGGGATCAATAATAGCAGGACTTTGAGAATCATGCCATCAATTATATTTCAATCTGAAAAATAAGGCAATCAAGTATTGGAATTCTAGAGAAAGCTGAAAAAGGTTAGTATTCAACAAGCTATTCCTACAATATTTTAAGAGATTATTCAGTTTCTGTAATATACAGTTTTATTATAGGATTATAGTAAATTTTTAAATATAAAAGCAAGCTAATGTTACTTAAAATTTAAGAGAAAATCTATGAAAGCAATCTTCTGAAGATTAAAGCTATTAACAAGTGAAATAATTGCAACAGATTTTTACTTAAAATGAAGAACCTTACATGAAAGATTTGCCAATCAAAATGACATAACTTGAAAAATACATTATCCAACCAATTAAAACAAAGTATAAGATAGGCATTCAAACAAGAAATGAAAAATCAAATATTACTAATTGTGACAAAAACCAAGGGTAAATTAATAAGATAAATGTATATTTGATTTAAAGTCAGAGAATGCTCAACAAATGAAGGAGGAGGGGAAAGAAAACATTTAAATGGGAGAGTTGATGCAATATCAGTGATTCCCTTCATGGTTTTCATGGATAGATGAGTCATTTGCTGAGATAGAGAGAAAGGAAGAAAAGGAGATAGAAAAAAAAAGTAGGAGAAATAAATTTTACCAGGAAAAAGAACAGGCAGGTAACACTGACTGATGTCAGTTGGTAGCTTTTCATTCAAGCCTTGAGCTCAATTAGTTTAATTTTGTGGCAAGAATTAATACAAACCACCAGTTAAAAAAAAAAAAAAAGGTTGGCAGAAAAAAAAAGAAGAAAATGTTGAAAACATGCATGGAATAAAAGAAATAAAGTCTTTGAAATTCATTTAAAATATTGTTAAAAAAAAAAAAATTCACTAATTAATAATCAGACGATGGAACTATCTTGTTTCCCCAGCAGAAAAGAAAAGGGATACACACACACACACAGTCACACATTATGAAATGGACAAAGTCCGACAATTATTATAAACATAAAAAATATCTTAAAAAATAATTGTCGGACTTTGTCCATTTCATAATGTGTGACATCATTTGTTTACATTTGGATACGCATTGAGCAGATATGAATGTATGAGAAAATCATAGAGAATTGTGTTTAAAAACAGTAAAATCAATCTTGCTAACCGAACGCTCCTCTGTGGCCCAATTGATTAAGGCACATCAGGCTATATGACAGCTCCATATAGGATACAGGTTTGATTCCTGTCGGAGGACACATATTTTCTATGAAAATTTCTCAGACATTCAGGCCGGTAAATGTTGTTAATACGGTTTATTATAAACAGAGCATTTACTTAAATATTTGTACCTTTGTAAAAAGAACGTATATACACACATATATAAATATATACACACACACACATATATACAAAAACACATATAAAAATACACACACACTGATAAGAGGAAAAAACATATATTTAAATCAATTAATTTATAATATTAATGCTCTGTAAATTTACATTGAGCGCTATTTTGTAAAAATAAAAATATCTATAAGAACACCGGATTTTATATCTTACTGTTCTTTCTTTTTATATATATATATATATATATAGCACAAAGAGGAATTCAAGTGTTTCACCTTCTACAAAAGATGGAAATACATAGCTTGACTACCCTAAATTTAAAGAAAACAAACATTGAATGAAGAGTGGAAGAAATTCAACTATAAATAGAGGAATTAACTGAATGTAAGGGACAGTTTAAAGCATAGGCTTTTCTCCAAACCTTTTTTTATAAAATAAACCGTGAATATTGAGAAATTTTTTTTTTAGTAATTTTTAACCAACTTACCACATGTGAATTTCACAAAAATGATTATATTTCATGCATAATCAAATAAGACACAAGAGATTAAGGTAGTGCATTCAAGTTTTATGATGATTTTTATTTTAGAATGTGTAATAAAGTCAATATCTATTTACATATGATGAGAGATGAGTATCAGATTGAGAGATTTAAAAGCCCTGATCTTGAGTCAGCAAGTCTTTGCTTATTAAGTAACAAAGAGCAACAACCTCTCTCTCTCACACACACACACACACACTTGATAGGCAAAAAGTTTGGGGTCACCCACTGGATTGAAAAATTGCGTCTTTTTCAAAATTAATTTACTAGATCAGGCCAGAGGGACTTTCTCTTCAAGTTTTTTTCTTTTTTTATATTCAATAATAATAAGGAAATTAGCCCATTACTACATTAAGTTTCCTTAATTTTTTTTTTTTTTTTTTTTTGGCTAATCTACCTTGCTGGCTCATGATAATCTTAGGAATGGCAGATTTTAAATTTTAAGTAACCCACCCTCTAAAACAAATGGACACTATGTACTAATGGGTTAGTTTAAGTATCTATAGCTTAATAGAGGTTAGTTAAAGCAATGGAAGTATGAACCATACTAAGTATTAGCTCCAGAGGGTGGCTAAAAACTTTTGACCTATAGTTTGTATGTGTAATTATATATATATCAGTATACTTTTCCTAATTTAAAATAAGTGACTGAAATAAAAATAGAAATTGTTGAAGCAAATATTTTTAAAAGCTGAATTTATTTTGTAGCAGATTTTATCAAACAGATGTAAAAGAGAAAGAAAAGGAGTTATTACTATTATTATTATTATTATTATTATTAAGAATAACAACAACCAACAACAACAACAACAACACACTATTCCTACAAAAAGGAGCTTTTGGCTAATTTGTTGTCACCACCACAAAATGACCCAAACTCATTTTTCTTTCTCTGCAACCACCGGATTTTCTTCACACCACCCACCAAGTTATTCAAACTGCTGCTGTCAGTTGCATATATTCATCTGCATATTTGGGGCTTGTTGCTTTGCAGCAGGCTTTTCTTATTACACAGGCTCACATATACACATAAGTTTTGTAAAATTGGTGTATATGTTCACATATGCACCATGTTCTCCAATGTATTTTTTCTTTACTTAGACAAACATTTGAAATGGATAAAAAAAGAAAACATTTACCAGGTGGTGGTGGTGGTCGGACACCAGGTGGCGGTGCAGGCTGTGGGGGTGGTGGTGGTCCAGTAGGGTAAGAAGCTAAAATTGAAACAGAAAATTATAGAAGTAAGAAAGAAAAGAGGAGCAATTGGAAGAAAAGGGACCTTTGTATTTTGTAAAATAAGATGAAGCCATAGAGAAGGAAGGTGTGTAAAGAGTAAAGAACTGATGTGGTTGTCAATGATGATGACAGAGAAGAAAAACTAAAGATGAAATGGAAATTTCAAGTTATAGATTCAGTTAAATTGGGTATACAGTTAAGCTTCAACTCAACTTACCCAAAAGGTGAGCATAAATCTCTTACCTCCCATCCACCCCCCCAAAAAAAAACAAAACAAAACAATAGAGATGAGAGTAATGTAAAAAGCCATTCAGTCATTAGGCTATCTTCTTTTATTGCTCAATAAGAATAACTCCAACAAAAGCTCTTATTTAAGCCAAACAACTGAGACCCACTTGTATTTGCTTTCAAATTTAAGCAGTTGTACTTTTGGTAAATAACCAGAGAGAGTGTTTTGTAGACAAAGCTAAAACTTGAGTAATCATTGATTTGACTATTCAGCTCTGACAACAATGATCTACTGGGTGGCTAAAGAGTTTGGGTGATTTATTAAGCAAAAAATTCAAGAAATATTTTTGTTATATTCTCGCATCTTTCAAGAAACTTCTTAATTCCATCTTCATAAAGCTTTTTTATCTTTCTGGGTGAAGACATGCTGATTTTTTTTTTGTGTTGTTAATTACTACCTTTATTAGGCCTAGTAGGGAGCAGTACTTGTTGAAATCAATTATTTGATTCCCTGGAAGGAACCCATAGTAGAGGCCTCGTTTCTAATCCCAAAGATAAAGATACAGAATCTCCTTTTGATAAAGGATAGCTTTTTTCTAATTACTGGTGCTTCAAATTATTTTTTGATTCTTTGGAAGGAGTTAAATAATTCCATTCTAATCCAACCACAGAATCACCTTCTTTAGATCAACACGTCTTTGGCACAGTGCTTGTTCATTTACCCCTACAATTTTTTGAGTTCCACACTGTTGTCAAGTATCCACTTTTCATCAGCCATGTTTCAAAAACAGAACATCTTTATGTTTTGAATCAAATGTGAAAATGTCTACTATGTTTCTCACTCAATGTTCGCCAGGGAGGCCACACATCACAGCGACTAACATAACCAATTTGGTGCAAATGATGTTCACTGCTTGATTTGGATATTTTGAGTTGGTTACCTATCTCCTCCTTCATTATATAATGTCAATTATTCTCAAGTTATATCTTCATGTGATTGCTGTCAACCCCAACTGGTCAATCTGATTGTGGAACTTCTTTCAGCAAGAATACACCAGTAAAAAAAATAATTTCAGAAACCATTTTTTTGACTGGTTTCCTTATTCATCATAGTTTTATAAACTATACATCTAGTTTTTCTATGTTTTTATATATTAAAAAACAAAACAAAAAACATCATGTGCTGAAAATGTGGCTCATTCTTCTATGTTCAATGTTGGAATAAATCAACAAAAATGTGCCAATTTTAACAATTCATTTTGAATGACAGCTCAAACTATACATGCCTCATGTTATATAAAGACAAAAAAACAATACTTTGATAGTTGCTTGAATCTGAAATTGTGTCCATCGATGATCAAAACTACTTTAGACATAAGAAATATTAACAAGTGTCAAAAAATGTCTGACTGCAGTTACATACAGAATGTTTTAACATTCTGTATGTAACTACTGTAAGTCTTTTGAAAGGACTAGATGCAGTATTTCTAGCATGAACGAGCAACTGGCCTAGAAATTCCTGCCAGTCACATTCAGGGAATATCAAACATTGCTCCTCCTCAAATTATGGCCATTTATTTCTAACTGGTTTAGATTCTAAGAAACATAAAAAAAACGTATATAGTATTTTGGTCTTGAGGCCAATTTTTTTTCCTTTCTTAATCAATATCCACCTGTTGCTATGAACTGTTTTCAATTATTCATGCATGTCTAGACTGTTTGTGTCTGAAATGATTGAAAAAAAAAAGGAAAAAAAGAAAAAACAGTTATCACCAAACTAGTTTTACAATATGGTTATTAAAAGAATCTGTAGTAGATGACAAAATTGATAGGTGAATACATAACTCTGCACATTTTTCCAGTTGAATCCAGTGATACTAGTCACAAGAAAAAGGAAATAATTTGGGCACCTAATTTTTTTTTTTTTTACCCATTCCCAATAACTTTAATTTAAAAAAAAATTTAACTTTAAAATAATCTATTTAGCAAAAAGTGAGTAAACTGGAAATGCTAATTCAAATTGTCACTGAGAAAGAGAGAAGAGTTAAAAAAAAAAAAAAAAAAAGGCAGCTAAAAAAGCAGTGCACAAGAAATGTTCAAGAGGACAGTAGCACATCTCAGCAACCACTACCAAAACAGGATAGTGGGTGTGTGTGTGTGTGTGTGTGCGCGCGGAGAGGGGGGTATGAGGAGCACAACAAATAGTGTATTTTAAAAAGAGAGGGAGTTTAAGCTCACTTGATAAATAACAGCGACAATAGAATGAAGCAAATGAATCAAAGCACACCAAATTCAGAATCAGTCTCTCTTTGTAGGAAAATAAATGCTGAGTAAAGAGGTTGAATATTATAAGAACAAAAAGAAAAGGTGTCAAGACATAGTGAGAAGAAGTGTTCATTCTAATAAGAGTCATAGTGCTCTTGATTTGGGTCAAACTGGCCAAGTCAGATTTTAGAAAGTGAAGAAAGATTGTAATCAAATTTTTTCTGAAACATAGACCCTGTTGAATTGTCAGGATTTTGGTATTTTATATGAGCATAAAAGAAAAGGGTTATCAACAGAAATAAGATTTTTTTAAAATGTATAATTAATGGAATTTACTTGTCATCGACTCAAGTTTTTCCAGATAAAGATATATATGGAATAAAAGTTTGCTTGAATGTAAATAGGATTATTTTTTTTTCTTCAATAAAGATTACCATTATGAAAAGACAACAATTCCTTAATTCTCTACCCAGGCAATAAAGCAGAGTACCAGAAGCCAGGGTCCCCTTTGCCAAGCAAGAGAGAGTGAGAGAGAAAGAGAGGAGTAAAGCCAGAAAACAGCTGGCTTCCTTCTGGGCTCATCAAACTGCAGAATCAACCAGTCACACACATAGTTACAGCAGCTTTCCAAACATAACCATATACATTTGCACAAAAAGCAAAGTTGCTACAATGCTCAGTTACAAATAAAATTTTTAATGCATGCATTTATGTAAAACAAATAATTTGAAAAAGCTACATCAGATTGTTCTACAATGAAATCACAACATCACTTTACAACACTATTATTAGGATCTTTAAAGCATTCACTTTACAATAGTGTCTTTGCAATAATTGTCTATTAAACTTAAAAAAAAAAGAAAGGCAAATATTTAAATACTTTTACTATAGAGCCTGATCAGTGTTAAAGACCATATTGAATGAATACATGAAAAAAAAAATTGAAATAAGTCTACGGTCAATGAAAACATCCTGAAAGTTGAATAAAGTTAGATAGAGTACGAACTGACAGCAATAATCTTTGCCTCATTATGCAATTCTTTTATTATTGAGAAATAAAAAAAAATATGAAAAGATAGCACCAAGAATACAATGGTTTAGCACTTTGAAAATTTAAATTTTGCTCTCTTCATGTACATGTGTGAAGAAAAACTTTTAAATCAAATCTGCACAATCTGCTCCCCCCCCATTCACTAGAGTTTTTGAGGCAAAATGATTTACTTTATAAATAAAAGCAAAACCAGGTTTTAAAGTCATGTAAAATTTGAACAAGGTTATTTTTTCTGAAATATCCAACTTTATAGTTTCTGCACAATTCTCAAGGAATCTTAAAAAATACAACATCTTGAGAAACAAGAAATTGCAAAAAAATTAAAGTAAAAAGAGCAAGAAAACTAAGCAAACAACTGAAGAGACTTCCTCCAACCTCAACAGAACATTAAGCTTTTTTTTATATTCTGGTAATAAGCAATTGTAACACAGGTCATTGTTATTACATTTTTGTTTTTAAATTTCACTGCTACACTGGAAAGCTGACTTAAAATTTGTTTCACTTTATATACAAATAAATAAATTTAACTTGTCAGGCCTCCCACACATTCAATATTCGTTTTCAAAATGAAAATAACTGAGAAATAAACCTTTTTTGAGTGAGAAAGCAAACTAAAATAATCAAAACTAATGACAAGCATTTGGTTAAAATCTGTTTTAGTTATTATTGACTGCCAAAGAAAAAGCAAAATGTTATTCTCAGCAAAAGTCTTATCAACATTTAACAAGAGATTAATCTCTCCAAAATAATTGCTTTCTACAAAACAGCAAAAGAAAAAAAAGAAAGAGTGAAGCCAAATAAGAGAAAAACTGAAAGTCAACAAGGGAACACTTTCAAACAGATGACATTGCATCAACTTTAGAAACTAATTCTATTACAGACAGAAATAATACGTTAAATAACAAAAACAAGAGCGAAACGGAAAAAAAAAAAAAAAAGTAAAGGAAGTCCAAAACCTCCACCCAAGCAAGAAAACAAAAAATCTAAACAACCAGGCAAAAAAATACTTGTCATATTTTATCTTCAAGAAAGAGGGAGATTAAAAAAAAATAATAAAAAAAATTAAAATCAATAAAAATAATGATAATATAAAACAAAAAACAACCAAAAACAAAAACAAACAAACAAACAAACAAAAAAAAAAAAACTTACTCCCAGGAGGATGTGGTTGTCCCAATGCAGAGGAATTTGCTAAAAAGTAAAATTGGGCTAGATATTAGATGGTAAACATCCAGACCATTGACTTACACAATAATCTATTTGAGGAGGGGCAGGATAATGACCCGCGTATTACACACACAAACACTTACAAAAAGGAAAAAAAAAAAAAAAAATCTTAGTGCTATATTGAAGAGACTACTATAGAATAGCATTTTGAAATAAGTGTCAGTAAGAAGTTTCATGCAGACTAAGAATCTTGTATAAAACTTACCATAATAACCCAGCCTTGTTTTTATGGTTTTTGGTTGTTTTTTTTTTTGTTTTTTTTAAAGTGTTTCTAAAGAACTTTTTATTTTGTCTTTCATCAATCTTACATTCTGACAAGGGGGTTACTGAAAAGTTCCCAACCCACTTGCCATAATCTGCTAAAATAACCCAACATCAGAATTTGTTTTGGAATTTTTTCTTAGCTGGTCCAAGAACATTTAAGAGCACCTTTTACTTGCTACTAAAAAGGCTTTCTATCACAAAACAATTAGACTTAAAGTGTCAGCAATGAATTTTGTTTATCAAACAATAAATTTGATAACTTTTTAATACTTTCTTAATAACTTGGTGTCTTTCTTGAATGGTAGAAGTGCCAGTAAGCAAAAAACATTTTTTAAAGCTAAATTTAATTAATTTTTAGCACAGAAACTTATCACATGTTCGAGTCTTATATTGCCAAGAAAATAAATGGTAAAGTGTCTGCATTTCCATAAGAGAAAATTATTTTTTTCATATTAACTGAAAGTTTTCTCAATACATAACCAATTTCTTTTGTTAGAAAAATTCAAATGTCAAGATCTCTGTATTTTGAATTCAAAATTTAAAACAACTACAAGCTGAAAGCAAACTTCTTTATAAATGAGTTGTCCAAGATTTTCCATGGTCACCAATTGGCAAACTTGACACATTTTTTATTCCTGTTGATGAGGCATTGTAGCTGAGAGAAATCAATAAAATCAAATGTATATCTAGGATTAGACATTCAAACCTGAGATGCTATTAAGTAGAATTAGAAAACATACTGAATAATTTATCTTGACAGCGACATGAGAAAATACATTTAGGAATATAGTTCAACTGTAGAAAACTGAAACTAATTTTTTTTTTTTTACATGACATTAAAATGCATTAATCAGCATCCTTTGGTTAACCCCACCCCTCTTATTAGTTCCACTATGCATGCCAGAAAGCATCCTACCCAAATCTTAAACACATTACATTCTCACAGATAGTCTCCAAATAGTCGGCACACAGTCAACTTGACTAAAAGAAAAAAAAAAACCCTGTGCAATAAGATCAAGTACAAACCAAGATTTTACCTACTCTATTTCCCCCCAATATGGCCTTGTGGTGTACAGTAAGCAAGGCTTAGTAAATAAGGATTAAAAAAAAAAAAAAAAAGAAAAAAAAAGAAAGAAAACAGTTATTTTGATCAGAATGGAAAGACTGCTACATTCATAAATTCTCTCATGGGTTGGCCATGTTGATTGAAAAAATTTTGGAAAATTGAGGGAAATGGATAAAGCACTAAAAATAAGTCAAAAGAACCAGTTTCACACACTCACAAGATAGCCATCAGTTCAGGGTTAAGCAGAAATGCAGGGGGTGGGGGAATAAAATTAAGTTTTTAATTCCAAATCGAAATTGCCAAATCAAACTAAAAATAGTTAATGCCACCAGAGCAGTTATTGTGCAGCAATTTTATTTTCAAATTGTAAATTTAATCATAAAATTTCAAGAGAATAAAGAGTTGGCTTGTTAGTGTGGCTTAAAAAAGGTGGGGAATGATAAATATCACTGGTGAAGTTTAAAAGATACAAGAAAGAAAGAGACAGACAGGCAGTGAAATCCATATACAAAACATTCAAATTGTCACAAATTTGAATCTTGGTAATGAGACAACCTGTGTGTGTGTGCATGTTTGCAAGTGGAAACAAGTGTGCAATAAATATTTACTAATCCATACATTCCTATTTAAGTAATGTCTATAAAACTAATAAGATATATTGCACTAAATAGTAGAAAAGAAACTGGTAGGCCATTCTAATTACGCAATGTCTGGGAAAGTAGAGAGCCCTCGTGTAGTGCACAATTCTAAGGCATTATTCCTTGATGAGATTTTCATCAATTTGGAACTGGCCGCATCAAAATAAAATCAAAGATGATTCAACTTTTCACATCTTACCATTTCATCCATCCATCCATCCACACACACACACAGCAATAAAAAGCAACAATAGAAATCATTTAATTGTAAAAGGTTTTGTTAGTAAATTTTGAGGCCCAGCATGAAAAAAATTCTTTAGAATCAAAATAACAAAAGTGAATGCTTATCACATTACCTGAGCCAGGAAAGGGGACCATAGGATTCCAGCTAGGATGGGGTCGATGATGGTCTACTTGATGTTTCGGTCAAGAAAGAGAGGAAAAAAAAAAAAAAAAAAAAAAGTGGGAAGGGCAAGCAAGGAAAAAAGAGAAAAAAGAAAATATTAAAAATTTCAATACATATTGAATTACAGTCTTGAAATAAAAACAAAAACAGGTAACTCTTGTCAAAACAAAGAGAGACATCAAACATTTGGCTGTCCAAAATCTATAAACAGCAATGTAGGTAATTCTTACAATTTTTTATGAACATTCACTATTTACAAAACCTTTCAATGATTTCTTAGGCTTTTGATACCAACAGCACAAATTGGAGAATACAGCATTGAATATAAATATGTTCCAAGGAATCTATGTCAAACATTTTAGATATCATCAGTCCTGAAATTGCCCAAGGAGACTGTATATAATTTTTAAAATTTGCTTTTTAAGAGTATCAATCTTTCTCAAGACTATAAAATAATTTTGAACTTCTATTTTGAAGGAACCAAAGCTGTTAAAGGTATTATTGCCAAATTAACAAAATATTTTTATACTAATTAGTTTCAATGAATACATGAAAATATCATCTGCATTGGTGTTAATTGCAGAGTTGATAAGGACACTTATCAGCAAGACAAAGAGGAAACGAAAAAAAGTTTTTCTTTAAGAAAAACAAAGGACAAGTGCACCACTTGACTTTCTCCAGAGATGAACACAAAAACTAGATATCTCATCCAACAGAATTATTTCTAACACTGGTGCAACTGGTGTTGTTCCTAGCAGAGAATGCCGCTACTATTTTAGAAGAATTCAACAGTGTAAATTCCATTGAGGCAGTTCTGATGGACAATACTGGTACAAAAACTGGTAGTAAGCCAGGGCTTGTTACAGCTCTGGAGAAAACAACTTAAAAGAAAGTTGCACACCATTGGCTATTCACTTCATCAAAATGAATTTCCATTTAGAGCTGTTTTTAAGTACATTGATGAGACTACAAGAAGCCCTACAACTTTTACTAGTCCTTTAGGGAAACTTTGTAGAAATGATGACCAGGACTTAACCCAGGTAGAATTTAACACTACCAATGGCCATGGATTTAGATAGATAACACTACCAGGGCAATAGATTAGATAATTTTACCGGCACACCGACCCCACGGGTAGTTTTAAGATTTGTTTTTATTTTGTGTCTATTTTGCAGACAAATTCTTTTATAAGTCATTATTATATAAGGGTGGAGATGCAATTTGGTTTTAGTTGCATTTTGTAGCCAAGCATTTATTCCCTGGGAATAGCAGGAGTTTGGTTATTAGTTGGTTGTCAGTAAGGAACAATGGAAGATTTGTGGTGACCAGAGACTGCTCTTAGAATACGTAGAGGAACAGATTTTCTGTGATCATGGAATCGCAGAATCATTAATCTTAACCTGGGTTTTTAACAAAATTTTCAATAAAATTATTTGAGTTTTGTTTTAAATTTTTCTTTCAAAACTTAATAACTGTCTCTCTGATTTTGTTAAATATTTTAATAAATATAACATTAACAATAACATAGTTATTTCCTTAAGTAAAGTTCCTTAATTAAGTTTGATTTCTTTCATGTTGTGAGAACGGCTGCCATTATTGGCTTTGTTTACATAAATTTGTCTCAAGTAGTCATGTGCAGAAGCTTCACTCGTCTTCATTACTGCGCAATGCACAAAGTTGAAAATGATTGCACAATTCCAAATATAGTAGTAAAAACAAAAAATAAAGTCAAAATTATATGCCTGAAAGGAAAAAAAAAGTTTTTACCTTTTTCAGTGATGTTTTTTTTATTTAAATTGTGTTGTGAAAGTTCACTTAAAATCCGACAATAAAATAGAAATTATGTGTCTGAAAAAGGTAAAAAAAAAAAAAAATTTTTTTTTCTCCTTTCAACGATTTTTTTTTTTGACATATTTATTTAGAAAAGCTCAATTGTTTTCTATAACAAATTTAAACCAATTTAATAAATAAAACAAAAATCATTATTTAATAAAGCTTCACTTCTACAAAGAAACAATACTTAATTCGAAAAAAAAGAATTTATACCAATTAAATAAAAACTATTCATTAAAAGCAACATTAAAAAAAAAAGAAAAAAAAAGCACATTTTAAAATAACTTTTGCAAAAACTGTACAGTAATCAAGAGTAAGATACAAAAAGCAGTAAAAAGGCTTCTGTACTTTAATACTTGAGGCAAACATAAAAAACAACACCAGTAATGGCGGTTGGACAACATGAAAGAGATCAAACTTACATTGTCAATAAATTGTAAACAGTAATAGAGCACAATCTTTTAATGTCATTTTCAAAATAATCAGGCAATTTCACACCATAATAGAACATTTTCATTACTGTGAGCTTTTGGTGCTTATATTGTAAATTAACCAAAATAAGAAAACTGGTTCATCAATTTTCTGAGAATAAGTTGTCTAGTCTATTTGGCTAGTCTATTTTTAAATATTTTAAAACTTTTCTGAGAAACTAGGTAGCAAACAGGATGAAAGTCAGTATGAAAGTCGGAACGTATAGCCTGGATGTAGCCACCAAGATCCATTGCTGAAGTGGGTATTTACCCGACCTCCCCATGAGGCAGGATGTGGGGGTTATCCAAGCCCATAAGCTTGGGCAAAAATTCCCCATAGACACCACATATATAGAGTCGTGTTTGTCTACCTCCCCAGATGAGACTCTGCCCATTTGGCATGGCATGGCCTGGTCTGGGTTCCTCTCTGCCTGAAAGCAGAGTTCAATGTCTTGAGCTTGTTCAAGCCTAAGCTGGAAAGCAAGTCCCAAGGTGGAAATGGGGGAGGATAGAAACTAGTTAATATCAAAATTGGAAGGGGAGCGAGACAAAGATCAAATCAATAAGTTTAACAAATTCATTTCCTTTAAGGCCTCACACAATTTGCAAGTAAAAGATTCTAAACAACTTTTAACCTTGTGTTATGATTATGAATATGAAAGAAAAGTAAATTCTATTACATGCCTACCATGCAATTTAGAAACCACAAAAAAAAAAAAAAAAAAAAAAACAAACACCATTCTATGCTTGACTGGCTTGTCTACTCTGAAGCTTAGTGTCATACAGCAATCCTTCCAGATTAATAATTGCATCATCTTTAATGCTTCACTATTGTAAAAGAAATTAAAATTTTGGAATGCAAAGTAGATGTCCTTTTCTGGAACAGATTGGCAATAAGGTCATATAGATGCTGAACATTCATTTTCTCAGTGTAAACACTAAGCAACTCACAAGATTGTATTACAATGGAGATTTAGAGAAGAGATTAGAAGAGTAGATATTTCTTAAATTAAGAAATTAGCAATTTTAAATTTGAGCAGTATTTCAACTTGGGATAAATTGTTTTATTTAAATTTTGAATTAATACGTCTACTAATTTGCTTTTTGATATTTTGTTACAAAGATTATGGTTTAATTACTGTTTTGTAAAATTTTAATCGAAATGTTTGACTTTATCCAGATATTTATTATTGAGATTCAAGTTATTTGCTGTTGATACTTTAAATGTGATTTTTATGAGTCAATAATTATAAATCAAACAAAAACAAAATTGAATGTGTTCTGAACGTGTTTTTAGAAGGAAGCTCTGATTAAAAGTTCTAACCTCAAAGATAATTATGCACTGTAACATTCCATTGTTTTACTGTCTAGTCATTTTATTTTTTTATTTTTGCATATAATTTATTTTTGGACTTGAATTTTAAAATTTAAAAAAGATTTGTAGATATTTGCTATTTCTTTATATGCAATAAAAATTTGAATTGTGTTTTTTCTTCAGTTTTGATAATAATTATAGCATATGGTATTGCATTTTTGTCATAAAATACTATACAAATGGAAAAAAATGAAATTTCCCAAGTGGAAACTGAAAATCAGGGGCCCTAAATATACCACAGGAATTTCTTGAGGGAAAGTGAACTCTAAATTGGCTACCTGAAAAATTGCGTCTATAAATCAAGCAAAATGGCTAACTAGCCATCAGGTTAATGCATTTATGGACCAGTAGTGCCTATCCATCAAAACTCTATGATAAATTGCACTGCCTTATGAAGTTTATAATTGAAATATATGCAGTTAGTTGGTTTCCTAACCATCAACGGTATTATCTTCAACATGAGAATAAATCAAGTCACCAGAAATATAGAATGTACCATTAAAAATTTACAGCACAAACTCTGAAGCGACACACACTGGTCACATTTGATTAACTTCTCAAAGAATGGAGTTTGTGAACCTATGCTTGCAGAAGGTTTTTCACATAATGACCTGCAAAAGGTTCTAGTGTAGTAGGTACCACCACTAATTTTCGATACCTTGATTTAAAATTAAATTTTATAAATGAAAAAGCTATTTTTCCTGCAACTTTGTTTTTAACAATTTGCCATAAATTTTCAATTGGTTTCAGATCAGTTCCCCGGCCCTTCCAGGGTTGTCGCGCTGAATCCATTCAAAAACTTCTGAACTTTGACCAGTGGCATGGAGCACCATTATGCATAAATACTGTGCCCTGATGAATGTGCATATGCAGCAGTTATACATACTTTGCCCTCATTCATTGTTGTTGTTGTTGTTGTTCCTGGAAGCCAGCTGTTCCAGATTTCGACATGGGGCTCCAAAGGTTTGGTGAGTGCTTCATTAACTGAATTATATATTTTTTTTCATCAAATCTCTTCTAATGTTTCTTTTATGCATAACAAATTGTTGCAAATTGACAATTCATGTGAAAATCTAACTTTGTTTCAATCTGCTTAGTAAATAACAGATGCTTGGATTTCACACCTGCAATTATGTGTTTTTTTTATGAGACAGTTTCAAGGATTTCAGACCAAACTGAAATCTCAGATGATCTAAAACTGCCATAGAACTGACATTTGGAGCATTTTGAAGCTGAGCAGCACATAACTTCTTGCAAGAACTTGTTGGGGATCATGTGACAATAGTCAGTTTTAGCACTGGTTTTCCTTGACCATCCACTTCTTCC